GTCTTAGTATTTGTTAGACGTTCTTTGCCAGAGCTTCAGTTTCTCCTGAGCGACGACAGGTGTAGCCGCGCTGATCGTCACCTCATGGTGTAACATCGACACGCCCTTCTTCTCCTGGACTCAAGTCACCGCCCCATGGACACAATACCCTTCAAGTAGATTACAATCTCAAGTGCCGCTCTCACGGCATTATTTCAGCAGAACTGGTAAAGTCGCGCGATAAACCAGCAATAATTCATTATTGGTATTGGTATTAGTCTCCCTTTATTTCTGTGGTTTTCCCCGGGAAATTTAGCTAAGGAACTCTCACTTTCATCATGCTCTTCGGGTACTCTCTAAGAAGCTGGAAAAAGCCATTTTATAACAGCTGCATAACAACTAGTTCCAAGTTTCAAGTAGTCTCCCTTTCCCCTTCTTGTTTCTCATGTTGGCATCTCCTCTTCTTCCCGTTTACTCTTGCACGTTTACTCCTGCACATTCTTTACCCTTTTGAAGTGGAGATAAATGGTTTTATTACCATAGGTACTCTGAACACTGCAATCCTTGGACCTGCGCTCCAGTCTTGCAAATTTCTTTGCTCCTGATGAAGAGAGACCTGTTTTCCCTCGAAACCGATTGAAATTTTGTAGAAGTATACGCTAAATAAAAGGTTGTTTCTTTACTAACTTTCAGTTTCATGTTAGCGTGCATCTCTTCTGATTTCGTGGTATAAATGTCACAAAGGCATAGTCACAAGGCATAAAATGCGGGAATTCCGTTCATACCTGCGAGACAGGGTCTAAGCTATAGCCAATTAGAGAAGGTAAGTTTGCGCGTGTGTGATTGTGTCTACACCTTTCCCGCACAACAGGTTAAGAGTGTTCTCTCTGATTGGTCGAATCTTATACCAAGTCGGCATAAAGTTAAAAAATTCCAACTTTATGCCAAAAGCCCTAAACCAGTTTTTGTGATGTAGCAAGGTCTGGTTACCTAGCAACAAAGCTCGGCCTAAACCACTTAATGACATTTATACCACAGTCTGAACCCCGGAGCCTTAACTTCCATAGCCTTACTTTTAAAAGTATTCTCAGACATTTGGAAGTTTTCTTCTGTTGATTAGGGCAAACTTTAATTTGTATTTATTACCCTGTTCTGGCAAAATATTCGTATTTTACTCTTTTGCTTTCTTCATGGCCACGAAACTACGCTTGTGTCTTAGAAGTTATAAAAATAAAACAATCAAGCAAAATACTACAAAAAATAAATAAATAAATAACCAAGCGTAAACAGTTAAACAAAAAGCTTTTATGAATAGGTACAACAAAGTTAACCGTTTGGGGTTGCGAGAAATTCTACAAATACATTAAAACAGTTATTAATAATAGAGATTTACGTTTTCTCCCAGATCCATCTCAATTTTTAAGTTTTGTAATAAATAACCTTGACACATTTCCTTAGCATCTCATTTAAAAGAAAGATGTACATCCAAACAAAGCGCAAATAACATTTTCTTTAATACAGCACACCGGAAATAATTTAAATACAGACTAACGGAAAAATGCAGGTCTATCATGCAGATTTTTTTTTTTTTTTTTTTTTTTAATAAAGCGAAAAATATTACAAGGAACACCAGTTGTACTTAACAAGGCAAGCGAAAGGTATGTTTACACGGGTAAATCATAATTGTGAAATAACTATTGAAATTTCAAAGTTCTGTTTTTTTTTTTTTTTTTTTTTTTAAATTAACTCAAATAACTTACTACATAAAATAAACTAAAGGTGCAAAATTTCTCCATCCATGTCTACGAAGGAATTTAAATTAAGAAATAATTTCAGGTAAGGATTAAAAAATGTTTAATGTTTAATGCAACTTCTCTCACATACAACCAGAGCTGCCACAGTTGGTAGAGTTGTTAATGACGCTGACTGCCGCCCCAATGGGTCCGGGTCCAAATCTCGTAGATAGCATGGATGTTTGCAAGTGTATAATGTCTGTGGGGTATCGGGGCCCTCAAAATACTGGACAGCCGAAAGTTCTCTCGAGTGGTTTGGTAATAGGGGAGAGGGAAGGAAAATCCTCGGACCGTCCACCGGGTACTTTCCATCAAAACTGGGGGGGGGGGAATTACTCATTTACTGCGGTGGGACTATATCTGTACAACCAATGGTGAATTTCTGGTTCCCCACCCACTTGTACCTGTACCCATTATTAGTCAAGCTCATGCACAAACGCGTATACCTATAGCAGTAAAATATTCTTATTGTCTCCTGTCAGAAATGTCGACTTGAGATTACATAGAAGACCGACCGAAATGTTTCAATTTAAGTTACACCTTTTAGGAATCGTTATACAAAACAAACGATGAACGACATTTTCACCTTTTTTTGTAAATCCCAAAATACTTCATGGATTTCTTTCTCTTTATATTTGAAAAAAAGTTCTAATTTAGGTATTTTTTGAAAGTGAAGTGTGTGTAAAACGCATTAGAAAAGCCGGGGTATCTCTAACATTAATCGCAAAAGAGGTGTAGCTTGAATCGCACGGAAGCTACAAAAATCTCCTTTGCATGAATCCGAATTCAAGGCAAATAGTATTACAAGCATCTTAACAGGTATTATGATGTATCAAGTTCTGAAAGGGTTGAAAACCCTTTTTAGGTACCACCAAAAAAAAGGAGAGGGGAATTTGAAACGTAAATAAAATTAAATAAAACCTAATATTAGACGAGTTAAATAAACCTCGACTAAATAATTGGCAGACGAAGCGTATATATTAGTATTCATGTAACAAAATACAGCATTAGAAACGCACTTAATGAAAAGAACAGTATAATTGTTTCAGGAATATATTAAAGAAGATAACAGAGCACTCAGTCACAGAGGAAACCAAAAGTCTAGTACGGAATAAATGTAGACATTCGTCCTTCAATGTTCAACTTATTATGCATTCAAAAGCAAACAATTAAATTGTTTTTACAGTTGACTTCTTTCCACTAATTGCCGAGGACTATATACAAAAATAAAAATCTTTCATTATACCTATGCTTGAACGAATGCAAGCAATGAATGAAACATATATTTTTCACATTACGCAGCAAGGCTGGTGGTTTCAAAGCAGATTTGCTACTTTTTGACAGTTTAATTATTTCCTCAGCTGAAATTAAGCATGTTGATTCTTAAATGTTAAAAAAAAATCTCCAATTAAATATTTTTGCATGTAAAGATGTCTAAAAAATTTTGTAGCTAAGATCTGTTAATATTTTTGACATAGGGATTTGGAATTTCGTTTAGTTTTTAGAAGATCTTTAATACTCAGATGGAGACATTTTCAGAAAACGAACAGATTGGAGACAGAGAAATATTACCCGTTATGTAGAAGGTATTGACAAAAAGGAGACTTAAATGAATTTATAAGGTATTTTCTCACACCTTGCCTTCGGTGTGTAAGGTAGCACACGCGCATTCGAGAGTTCAGGTTCGAGTCCCGGCGAAGGCATTGCACATTTTTCACGTCTTTCAGCGTCAAAATAACCCAACGACTCTACAGTGATGCCAGAACAGGTAAAGGTGATGGATGATGATTCTTCACCACCAGGATTTGGCGATTGGGTCTCCTAATCCCCAGTGGTTAAATGTGGGATTTTTCACTCTTTTCTGCATGCTTTTTTGGTGTAACGGTAGCACACTCGGCAGGCATTCGAGAGATCCAGGTTCGAGTCCCGGTGAGGGCACTGCACGTATACTTATGTCTTCCAGCTTCAAAATAACCTAATGACTACAAATTAATCTTTAGTTTGTAAGACACGGATTCCAGAGTACCAAGACTTTTTTCAATGAATACAGCGAACGTAATTTGATCTTAAAATCGTTAAAGGAATTTCTGTAAATTATTGATCCCATATTCGAAAAGCGTTTTAATTTTATTTATGAACTTTTAAGACCCGACAATACCAAATACGCACTAAAATTTCACCATATTTTTAAAAAAAATTAATCCTGAAAAACTGTTAATATCATGATATTATCACATAACGAGAAAATACATGAAACCGTATTGTTAGAAAAAAAAGTCTAATTTTCAGAATGCATGATTTGAGCAAACTTACAGTTTCATCTGGAAAATACCTTTCACATAATTAAGATAATTAGAGAATTAGTACCTTTCACATATTTTCTAAAATAATAATGAAAAAAAAGAATCAACAGTAATTAATTAAAATAGATTAAATAAAAAAGGCCTGTAAGACGCTGTCTGCAGTCACGGTATTCCGTTACCTTAAGGCAAAGCAATCCTCCAACAACAGAAACAGCATAATGGAAAAAAAGGATGCAACCTGGGTTAGAGTTTTAATTACTTCACTTACGAGTTCAGTTCAGGAAGTAGCTGAGAATGTCAGGGGAATGTGGCTGGAGGGCTTTAGAAGGTCAGAGAGATAATCTTCTGGACAGCCCTGCCCTACAATCATTGGTCATCACATGGAGGGGACTTCATTACGATTTCGCCTACAGCGAAGCCCTTGGCACGTATTCGCTAGCTTTCACGCCTGTTTTTACTTAAATTAGTCTGAGATAAGCCTTCATTACGAGTTCCTTTCCATTCAGAGCACGAAGACATTCAGGTGTTTTAAATACTTAAAAATAAAGCGAATTACCAAACTTAAAAATAAAGCGAATTACACTTGTTTCCTCAGTGCATACAAAGCACTGAATGAAAGTCGAATTCTTAAGTTAGGAATACACGCATTAACTTTAATCGAAGCCTTAAGTTTTAGAGTTTAGAATTACTCAGCATATTCGAAATTTAGCATTATTCTAGGCTAATGCAGATTAAAAAAAAAAAAAAAACTGAGAAAGCAGAGGTACATGCCATATTTACAAACCAGTTACTTTTTATCTAAAAGCTATGCTCAAAATTAAAAAGGAAAAATAGATTTTCGGACTTTCAAACAATCAATAACAATACAACACCAATAATAAAGTTATAACAGGAATAAAAGAAAAACTAATTCTCAGATGCTTACTTTTAAACACATATTTTCCACTCACATATATTGCTGCAATATAATAATCAGGTAAACAAAGAATCCAGAGGCTCCTGCAAATGATAAAAAAAGAAATATCTGAGATAAGTATTATCTTTGCTTATATAAAATCTTATTCATGAAACTCTACTTACTACTACTTATATCTAAAAATTTCAGAAAATTCGTTCAAAATAAAACAAAACAAAAAACCAGTCGGAACTTTGGTAAAAATCAAATACCGCTTTTTATATAAAATTTTACGACAATAATAAATCATTCTATGACTGGAGAATACTGTCCTTTGAATGCTTTCATTTGTTTTCCACTACTATTCTCCCCCCCCCGAAGGTAATTTAAATTTTCATGCTATACATGCATAATACATATATATTCTAACAATCTGCATGCATTCTACGAACTCAAACTGTAAAATTACAGTTATTATGATACAGTAATTATATCAGGTTTTAGTAGCTTCTGGCAAACTAATCAAGAAATACATTTTCTTAAAAATAATAATAATAATAATAATAGTAATAATAATAATAATCTGAAAGGTTTCAGATTTTAAATTACGTCTAAAGCGGCGCTTTTTTAACATTTTACGTGTTACCTTTATTTATTAAATAGTATCATGTGCTTCCAACATTCAGTTCAAGAGCAATATCGCAAAATAATTTTAAATTCTAATATCTTTAGGATTTCCGATACAAAGTCTCACGCGCTGGAGAAAAAAATGTTTCTTCTGTACAGCGTTGCCATTGCTCGCTTTGAAATCCTTGAGTTTGTTAATAAGAAATTCGTTAAAGTTTTACAAAATATGAAATCGATAATAAAACAAATTCCAAATTTCAAATTTGAGCTTCCGGATGCCCATATTCGCAGTAGGATTACGTCATGCAAAATTTGATGGCTCTAGGTACCGTTGCTTTATCACAATGCGAGAAAAAGCATACATTTATGCAGATTCTTCATTATTTATTTTCTTCAAATATAATACAGGGCGATAATATTTGGTGGCAACAGTCTGAAAAGTGAAACGGACATTCAGAGTGATTCGACGCAAAATCTTAGCACGAAAACGATAGTCTCTCAGGGACAAAGCCCCTTTGGACTAAAAACCCATTAAACTCAAAATGTATTATTATGGCCATATCAAATAACAATTAACTACGTCCGTAAAGTTATACCGGGAAATTAAAATTCGATTTTATAACAAATACTTCAGTACAAATTGATTGATTGATGCTGTATTGTAATTGATTGATTGATGCTGTATTGATTGACGCTGCATTGTAATAATCTTCTAATAATTTATTGATTGAAGCTGTATTGTAGAAATCTTCTAATAAAATATTAGAAAATGCAGAAAATAGTAATTATTTGCCGTTAAGTTTAAAATTTACATAATTTACACCATTATGTATCATCATTACTTGCTTGGCGTATAACGGCAAGAAAACGTACGAAAAAAAAGTGCTTTTAAATGTATTAAATATGCTGATACAGAATTAGAAAGTGCTATCTTTTTTTACACACCTCTACTGAAGGTAACAATTTTCATGTCATTCCTTTTCAGTGTAGAAAGAAATTATAATTTCGAACTATAAATACTATGATTCAAAAACATTAAAAAAGGAAATATTTAAAACGTTTTGCGCCGTCATTATCCTTCTATAGTATATAATGCTATCTATCATATATACATTTTTGTAGATGTTCTTCAATACTTTTTTTTTTTTTTTTGTGACAATTTGTGGCGTGTTTGTTCAAAGATTTTCGGAAAAGAGTTCATCTAACAAATCTTGAACTTGACGAATATGTGTAATCATACTCTTGACGGCGTAAAATTGCCTCTTGTTATTATTATCACCTTTATCGACAGAGAACTGTGTTACTATTGTTTGATAGAAGCAAAGTGTTTAGTTATGCTGATTTCTGAAGAACTCTGAGTAGGAGAAAAGTAATGATGTAAAGAAGCTTCAGCAAGCTGAGGATTCAAAACAAAAGACTTAACATAATGCTTTCTCAGCACTTTAATCTCAACAGTCCTAAAGAACTTTGATCCGATAAAGTAACATAAATCTTCTTTCGAATAAATGCATTCCGTGTAACTTACATGAGACGAAGGGGAAAAAATCGACCATAATTCACGGTCAATCGTTAACCTCTGACCGACTGCGACCGGTTATGCAAATACTGCTACAGGTAGTATTCTGAACACCTGCATAGATGTTATCTAATGCATTTGTGTGAAACCTGTCTTCATGTGATCAAATAAAAAAAACTGAAAGGAAATATAAGATTTCGAAAACAGAAATTAATACTTCGTAAAATGTATGCTCAAGTGCTTTACATACAGGAAGTCACAGATCAAAGAACAGAAGTGTTAAATATTACGATACACACACACGATGAATTTCAAATTTAATTACATGCGAGAAACATGTTTCAAATACAGTCGTAAAAGATGCATCTTGCAGTCACTTAGTGCAGATGATGAAATACGTTTTCCCAATCCGGTGCAAGAATATCCGGTGCCAAGAAGCAAAAAAACGTAGACGGTACTTACACATTATCTTTGTCTCTCTATATTTCTCTGTTATACTCATCTAAGCACACACATATAGAAGATATGGGTATTTATAAAATTAATATTATCATGAAAATTCAAATTTTATTCATTAACATTAAGTACATTTGCACGTATACATGATATCTATCCTCTTCCACCAACATTTTACTTCATGTTGACTAGAAAAGTACGATAGATATTTCATTTAAAGCAGATTTCGGCTTCTTCTCGAAAAGGAAGGAGAGAAGGGAGAAGGACACTGGCTAGAATGATATTTGTTTAAGCTTAAATTCGGACAACCATTTCGAGCACTACTTTCTTAAGATAAGAACATAAGAATTATTTTAGGTAGTTAGATTAGAAATAAATGAGATTAATAGTGTTAGACGAAAGTATTGCTACTAAATGCCCAGCTGCGGTAAGATAGCTTCCCCGTCAGAGAGTGGCAAGGAAAGGCAGAGTTGCCGGATTTGGTGCGAAATCTACCATCTGGCGACAAAATTGACGGTATGCCATAGACGGAGAAAGAACGTTCTAGAACATTCTTACCGTTTTTTCCAAGAATGTTTCCCAAGGTGAAAATCTATATATGCCCTGCCTGTACGCAGGGTATCTACAGTATGTTGAGTTCAATAACAGAGTCTTGAGTTCAGAGATTAGCTCGAGAGCGATCGACCGAGTCGGGAGCTACACTTTAGTGCTTTGCCATGTAGCTGTTTTCAGCGTTAGAGCCTGATAGCCTGAAGGCTGTGTTACGGATTGTTTCAGCGTGTTTATCATAGTTTTTTTATGACTATAACGCGTCTTTCAAGCTGTTATGTGTAATATTGACGAATAAATTGTGTTTTGATTCTTCATCAAGCGTTGTCATCAGTCACTCCAAATCAACGAACCCGTAAAAAGCAACAGCATGTTTTTCAAAACATTTACGCAGAAATGTTGTTTGAAATAATGAGAGATTTTCTTTTAATATCTTTTCCCTGATATCGCTTGTGAGTAACTATTTCACTCTATCGTCTGATGAGTAATGTATACGAAAACCAACTCTAAGGTCTGATTACTGCCTAAGCTTAGGCTTCCAGATTTTAGCGGTCCTCAAAATCGTCTTGGAATTTCTTATAATCCGGTTTTTTCCTTGATAAAAGCAAGGAAAATGGGCGTTAGAGCCTACAAATAACACTGTCGTAGAGCTCGAGACTTTCTTAGTTCAGACTTGGTAATTTCCTAGACAAACTTCCCTATTCACTATTTTTGAGCACAAGGAAGTCATTTGTTCTGATCATAAAATAAATTGCATTTATGGCTAATTGATTGAAGTAATGGAAAACGTTTATTCAACAAACTTGGAAATGATTGGCTTTTGGATTTAACTTACTTAACATTATTTTTTCTGTACTATTTCGGCTAAACTAAGTTTGATTACACAAAGTTAGATTAAGTGGGGTTTACAGCAATATAGGTATTAAAAAATGAAATGGAGTAGTTATGGTATGGTTGACAAGTTAAATTATGGCAAAGCAAGGAAACATTAACTCCCAAAAGTAGTGCCTATAGAGATAATGTAGTTCATGATGCAATAAAAATTAATTTGTGGAAGTGCTTACTATAATCACAGCAGCGTACACTTTGTATTAAAGGATACAAGGCGTAAATTAAGTCAGTATTGTTACAGTATTGAAATAAAAGTGTTGTGTTCATTTATTCAGATTTAAAAGTACAGAAAGAAAATATTTTTGGAAAAAGTTGCGAACCTTAGAATGCATGAGCAAGAACAGTGCAAATGAATTTCTGTAAAATTGTAGGTCTGAAAAATATCTTCGCCTAAATGGCGTTTCGCTCAATTTTCCTTCCTCCTTATTGTCTACGGAGAAGTATCTTTTCCCGAGGTTATTAATTATTATTAAATTACTTTATGTATTTCTCTCTACAGTGTGTTTCAGAAAGATTGTACTATTAAAAATTTACTGTAATGTATCTCGCAAACAATTATTCTGTACCATGGTACGTAATATATAAAACATTTTTTATGAATTAAAATTATTTATATTAACAAAAAAGGCATAAGTATTCGAGTTAAAAATATATTATAAATGAAGTGTAATTTTATTTCTGAGTTTTAACTATTTTCTTTTGCAGAAATATATGGAATTACTTCTCAAAGGATAGATCCAGAAATAATAATCATACTGAAGAGAGGCATTCCAAGTTAAATAAAAAAGCTACCGGTTCCCATTTAAAAGGATTTTCATTGATTAAACTTCTAACGATGATTAAACCATTTAGAAAATAAATCAGTTCTGCTGATACTAAGTTGCAGCAATAAATCAGGGATATTCCTTTTAAAAGACAAAGAATTAAATGAAAAATCAAAAATTTTAAAAGGAAAGTTATTAAGAAACAAAATTTTATTAAAAAATTACGTCGCTGTTGTGAGTACTGCATTCATTTAGAAGCCTAGATGTTGAAATGTTAAATAGCGTTAATTTCATTTGTCAA